TTTTTTCTTTGGAAAGAAGTAAGAAATGTTTGATTTGGCTGCAATTAACATGTCAACTGCCAAAAAAACAAAAAAACTGATTTAAAAATATTTTTTTTGTTCGTAATATCCTTATATTTACAAACCTTTTAACATATTTCAGTTAAGCTTTCTAATTTTCAAGGCTTATTGCCATATCACATTGAAACACTGCATCTTGTACAATCCCCAAAATTAAGCAACTTGTCCCATAGAGGTTTAGTCATTTAAAAAAAAAAAAACAAACAAAAAAAACATTGATTCTAAATTTTTATTTTTTTCTGAAATGTGCTCATAGCATATCTTCTTGATAGAAATATTAGCTGTTTAATGACTTGGAAATCTATATGTGCTGCAGGGTTAACTTTGAAAATACTGATGCAGATAATTGTAAGAACAATTCACAGTATTCAATGCTTTTACAATCGGGTTTTATTAATTGCAAGAAATTTTACTGGGCTATTTTACATGTTTTAAGCCTTCAACAGATATTGGTAATTTGCTTTGGTTGATTTGCTATGCTTTTTTTTTCTCTTCTATTTTTTAATTACTTTGCTTAAAGTTACTGATGAAATGTATAGGACAATTGTGGAGCTTTTTAAGTAGATGTAATTTTAAGGTTGATTTGATTAATTCATAAAATAGTAAATTTTCTTTTTTTTCATTATATATAAAAAAAAAAGGAAATAAAGCACAGAATGACAGTTGTTTGATGTTTAGGAATCGCCTCCATTGGTATCAGTGTGTCCTAAACCTACAAATGCTAACTTTTAATTTAGAAGTTGGTTGTCAAAAGAACACTCAAAGAAATGATTGATTATAGTTTGTTTCATTCAATTGTTGTATTTTATTGCTTCTTTTGATGTCGGCATTTGAAGCTGCTTAATTTTGATTGATACATTAAGGAGTAATGCCAATGGTGCAGGTTTCAATACACATTTTAACTTGATTTGTACAATTGTGTACTTTTACATTTGGCTTTTTTTCTAAATGATTTAGAAATAATCAGAAATCATTCCCATTTTGTTTTTTTAAAAGTGTGTATATTTATGTTTCATATTTAAAAACAAAATATTGGGTTGATCATATTTTCTCTTTTATTAAACTGGTTGGCTGCTCATTATGGCAATCTTATTGTCACTGTACACAAGTCTAAATGAAAAACTCGGATCTACTTTAATATTTGTACACATACATGTATATATAATCACCTGAAAGACCTTTCTGCCTCCCATCAGCATGGCTGATACGAACCTCCATGAGTGACTTATTGTGTCTTGTCAGGCTTACATTTTTCTTTTTTTTTTTTCTTCTTCTAAGTGATGTTGGCTGATTTGGTTAGATTTTGGGATGTGAAATGGGTCAGTAACTTCTCAGCACTCCTTTGTCTATCACCAGTAATCTCTCATATCTTTCTCTTATGGCCAAACAATAACAATGTTTTTGGCACAATTTAAACACATTCAAGAATCCTGTAACTGCAAGATCTGTTCTCTGTCCCTGATAGGTACTGTGCTAAGTCTCTTGAGAAATTGATTCTGGCTGAGTGATGAAGCACAAATGTTAGGTAGGTGTGGCTTTGTACACTGACTTTGATCTGCAGTTTTATGATGCTAATTAGATGTTTTCTTGGAGGTAACAACATGATGACTACAAAGGTTACCTGGCACTGCCTGGGTTGAAATAGTGCCCAAATTAACCAAATTAAATTTTGTTGGTTAATTTTATTCTGTCTGATCTACCCTGTTCCTTTCATGTGCCAAGGCCTTTCCTTTCTTGTCAACATTATGGAATGAAATCTTTGTGTAAAGGAAATGTGTCATTTGCATATATTCGTGTTTTATGTGCCATGTCCCTTAAAGATGTGGTCAACCTTGACTCTCTATAACTTCTTGGCTATTTTGCTTTAATTAATAATTTGGAAACTTTACCATCTCCATTTATCTTTGTTTTGCCATCCATCCATGTTAAGGGGGTTACTCACTTTCCTTTCTTTCGTTCTTGCCTTCAGTAGATCTTATAAGTGTTAGATTTCCTAGGCCCTCTTTCCTCATTACATATCACAGAAATGTAACTATCTCTTTCTGATTGTTATGTATGTTTGCTTATTGTTTCTATTCCTCTTAAGGCTTCCTTATTGCACTCAGGTTCTGTCCATGGTATTCTTAGCATTTGTCGATAGAATTGTCTCTGCCCCTGCCAGTTTCTTAAACTGTGATAGGATTGTCTAGCAATCACTGCTATATAGCAGTTCAGTACTCTTCTTTCATTTTTAAGGACATTTTCCTATATCTTAATATTTTGCTTAGTTTTGAGAAAACCTGTTTTACTATTCCTATATACCTTTGGATCTAAGTCCCATTTTCCATCATCTGTTACTACACTACACAGTTGGATTTCTGTACCTGTTTTATTTTGACATCCCCAATACATGGCTCAGACATTGGGCTGTCTCTTTTGCTGACAACCACACATTGTTTTCTTACAGTTAGTCCTTTCTTCAGTTTAAAATATGTAATTGGAAAAGTAAACATTTGTGAGGTTTACTCATTTAATTCTAATTATCTGATAACATTGAAATAAATTTTGTTCTGGACCCTTATAAGTGATTAGTTCAGGTCAAAGTATAGTGTTTTTCTTTTATCTGAAAAAAATGATGTGTATATTTACTTGAATTTTGACCTTTCTTTCAAAACCTTAATGCTGTCAGAAATAAGTTAGTCTTGACTTTTAGAGATAATAATTCAGTCTTATCGTATTTAAATTTAACTTGCTTCATAGATTTCAAAAATCTTTTTTTTTAATTATTTTTAAGTCCAGTTTAAAGTATACAGCACTAACATTTAAATCAGTACCACCACAGAAAACATGATTCTTAAGGTTTAAAATAAACTTAAAAAAAAAAAGAAAAATCTTTCTTGACACTTTCATTTTAGTTTTAATTTGAAGCTAATAGATTAAATTGAATATTTCCATTAAGCAAAATACTTTGCTACATTTTAACAACTAATTTAAATTGATTGGAAAGGGTTTTTTTTCATTTGTTGCTAAAATAGCTGATTAGCACCCCCCTTTTTTAAGTTGCCTTCCATTGTAATGTAATTCTCTTTATTAAAAAATCTTCCAAAAATAAAATGAACTTTTCTGAAACATTATCTGAAGAATATTAACTGATTTAAAGTATAAATAATCTAGTTTGTAACAAATATTATTTACTTTAAGTTTAAAATATCAATGCATTTTTTTTTAATATGGCTATAGCTGTTTATTTATGTTAACAGCCTGATCGTGTTGTCCAATGGCGGTTTTACCCATCAAAAAATAATTGAATATAATGTGAGTGCATTTTAAGTAATCTTAAAAATTTAACAAAATATTCTCCATAATCTAATGTTTTTTCTTTTTTATATACTTTCTGGTTTTAACTTTACTATAGTTATTGCTCTTATTTTTTGATATGTTGTATGGGATCAACCATATCTACAAAAATCAGAATATTTATACACATATTAAAAAAAATTCAAAATTGTTTTTAAAATATTGGTGTTTGATGATTTGTACTAAGTTTTTCCATTTATGATTAGTAAATATAGTTTTTACTTAATAATAGTATTATGTAAAAGAGTGAAATTGATACATATTTTTAATATTTAAAATTGAAATAATTCTGGTTAAAAAAAAAATCATTATTCCTCAAAAAAAAAAAATTTTTCTTAAGACAATATTATCCTTAATATATCTTATTTATAAAAGCAATTAAAATGTTTTCTAATTAAATAATGTCATAGTTTTATTGCATTTTTTTTTTTATTTTGATTCAGAGCAGATTTTCAGTAATGGTGTTTGACAAAAACAAATTGATTTAAATTTTCCAAGGAGTCTTGTTTTTAACTAATATAAATATGAAGAGGATGGAATTTTAATCTCTGGAAATTTCACAAAATTAAATAAGTGTGTGTGTGTGTGTGGGGGGGCGGTTACAGATGTCTAGAAAAAAAAAAATCAAAAATTCATTCATTTGTGAATAAATTCTGAAAATTTCATTTAAAAGCAATTATTTGATTTTTGCAAGAATTACCAAGACAATGTTTTATCACAAAAAACATTAAATTTCCCATACTAATCCTTGGCCCACCTGTTGAGACCAGAAAAACAAATTTTAACTAAAATTTTGAACATGCTAGAAAGGATTAAAATAAATTTAATATAATAATGAAAAAAAATCATTTGGTCTTTTCTCTTACTAACAAACATTTTGATGATAAAATTTTATTTTTATCAAGTTTAGAGCCATGGTATGCATGTTGTTTGTTTTTTTTTTTTTTTTTTTTAAGCATTTTGTATTATGCTTTATTCCAAAACTTTTTGCCAACCTAATGAAACATCTTATGCTTAACTGAAAAATCATCCTTTGCAGATTTATGTATGTGAAATTACTAAGAGTGTAGTATGTAGTCTACCACAATACAAATAACATGTATGGTAGATCTCAAATACTAAGGTAAGATGGCATACAACAATATAACTAATGAATTTTTTTTTTTTTTTTTCAGAAAAATTTAAAATTCTTTAATTTTCCATGTTAAGAGTCTGGGGAAGTAATGAAAGAAAACATGCAATAGTGAGTTGTTTTAATTTTAACTGGCAGGAAGCAAAAATAAGTCTACACAACTTGTATAGATGTTAGTCTACAGTTATTTTAATGAAATGTACTCAATGTTTAACCTGAATGGCTGGATAAATTGTATGTCAAGCATTGGTTGAGATTTTAGAAAGAAAATAGTAATCCATAAAAGAAAGGTGTTGAGATAAATCATGATTTAAAAATTTAAGTAATATCATTTCTGCAACATTCTTCTGTATACTGTATCTCTTCAGGACGTTGGTGATCATGACTCTCCACAACTTCCTCTTTTTTGTAGCTCTTAGTACTGTGGATCTTTGCATTATGTCCCACTTGCCTTTGGGTCTTATAGCCATATGTTGAAACAACGGTTCTCATACAATCACCACAGTTAAGCAACATCAGGCCTGGTTAGTACCTAGATGGGTGATGACTTGGGAATACCATGTGCTATAAGCTTAGATGTATGGATAGTGTAATGGATAATGGCTCAGAATGAGAAATCTGAGAGCAGAGTTCCAATTCCACTTACCTTTACCAATGCCCAAATACTCTTCTCCCTCTAGCTATGGGTTAATTAGTAGGACTTAGGACTTGTATCAGTAAAAATCATTATCATCTAAAAAAAAAAAAATACTTACAATCTGAAAATATTTTCTGGCTTTAAATAAGCTACATATTACCTTAATTCTGATGTTGATTATTAACCTCAATGATAACATATTTATCTTCTGTAGAAGCTTAACTTCTTAGAGTAAAGGAATAAAAACATTTTTGAAAAATTGCATTCAGAATTTTCATTAACGTCACTCTTCCTTCAATTTTGAAATTATGATTTGTATATTTCCAGGACATTTTTATTACAGATAGTTTTATTTTTTAGTTTCAATATTTATGTTAATTATATCATGTCAGAAAAGTCTTTTTATTTATTTATTTATTTGGAATGAGGAAAAAGGAAGACTGTCTTTTTTGTTTATCAACAGGTGTTATTGATTTGTTTACAACCAACCACCAGTTGAACGTAATTGTTGCTTGTATTGATGGCACAATATTGACATTAATTTGAGCATTACTATTTTATTAATGACATCATAATTGATATTTTTAAATTTTATTATTTATATTATTTACATTAGGACTAATATCCTCTTTGTGATTATCACAACATTTTGGCTTTTGTACCTTTTGACCTTTGTTTGTCAATCCATGTAACCTTCGTGTCTAGAGATATCTCGTGTTATCATTTAATATTGCTAATCTGTTTACTTGTTGTTAGGTAAGTTACTATGTCACTAATTTCTCTGATTCTTTAATCCATAAGATTATTTTACCATGGGGCAATCCTGAACCTTGAACGTGGAGCCTTAAACCTAATGTTTTCCTGTCTGCGTTGTGATAACAAGATGATATTAGTTCAACTGTAAATAACTCCACATCCCCTAAAATTCAAACAACAATTTTAATTATTTACACTATTTACATTGTTTGAACTGTTGTCCTCATCTTTATTGTCATATTCACAATGTTTTGGCTGTTCAACGTTCCATTTTGATCCGAACACTTTATTTGGGGGTAGGTTGTTCTAATTCCATGTGCCATGACTTTTCTTGGAGATCTCTGTATGAGTTAATTCCCTGAACAATCTACTCTCATGAAGTGTCCAGTTCAAAATTCCAATGTATATCACCTGAAGAAGGCTGGAACATAGACTGGTCAAAGTGGCATGAATATGGCAATGAAGATGAGGACAACAGTCCAAATGATGTAAATAGTTACAATACCTCATCTCGGAAATATTAACAAGAAATTTTAGCTTTTAGTGCATTATTATTTTCAATTGATTTTTCAAGTTCAATCCACTTTATCTATTTATCTTTTTATTTATATATTTAAATACTTACCAATCATTTTTCTGGTAATTTCCTATTTGGACAAATTGTGTTCTTTAGCTTGTGGCAATATTTTGGTTGCAATGTGTGGTCAGTACTTTTCTAAGTTTATTACTTTATCACCAACCAGTTCTAATGCTTTCTTTGCTGATTTGGTTAAAAGATCTGTAGAAAGGAAGGTTGATATTTATCACAAACACAAATGTCTCATTGTCATAGGAAGTGATGGAGAAGGTCTTGGTCGAAACCTCAGCTAACTGGGCTGGTCTGTTCACAAGCCCAAGTCACCACCAGTGTTGGTGACTTTAAAAAGTGAAGAGGCACTTGTTAACAAGTGTATAAGCAAGTTAATTGTAATCTGATTATATATACAAAAAAATAAAATAATTTTGAATTAGAAATGCATGTTTACAAGCATGAGATAGATGAGTAACCAGCTTGAAGGCACTACAGTGTCTCCCAGCAGCAAGACAGGTTTATTTTGTAAAAGTTTTTTTTACTACTTACTCTTGAGCCTTGTATAGGGTGAATGACTCGATCAAAATAGACGATTACTGAAGGAGGTTGTACGAACCGTAAAAGGGACAATTTATGAGGATATATGGGGAATCTAATATTTAACTAGATGGTTCACCTTACGTGTGATATGGCAGAACTGGAACTAAGGAATGTAGCTTGTCACCTTTTTGCTAGAAGGTCTTTGCTCTTCTTGAAGGGTTTTATCATATATTTAGTCGTAATAACAAAATTAACCCATTACTGCATAAAGTTTCTTTTAAAAAATTTTTTTAGTTCTTTTTGCCTAATCTACCTTGCTGGCTAATGGTAATCTTAGGACTGTTGGATTTTAAATTTTAGTTACCCCCCCCCCTCTATAAAAAAAAAAAAATATGGACATTACTTTCAGCATTGTAGATTAGTCAGTTAATTAAACCAAAGAAGGTATGAAACATACTAATTATTAAATCCAGAGGATGGCCTCAAACTTTTGGCGTACAGTTTTTATATGTATCCTAGGCATATTGTGGAAGGACAAAGTGCCCAATGCTGAAGTTCTTTCATTCTGGCCTAACATCCATGTTCAGATAGTGCAGGCTTCAATGGCTGAATCATGTTCGTTGTATGGAGGATGGTCAAATTTCCAAACACATCCTCTATGGGGAACTTGCAAATGGCAAAAGAGACACCAGTTGCCTTCAGTTACGCTACAGGAATGTCTGTAAGAGGGACATGAAGGCCCTTGAGATTAACAGTGACCACTGGGAGGACCTTGCTGCTGACCATTCTGGATGGAGAAGCCCCCTGATGAAACAACTAATGTCAGGAGTGGAGAAACTGAACAATGCAGCAGAAACCAAACAGACCTGCAGAAAAGAATGCTGCAGCATAGATAACACACAGACAATTAACAGATGTGATTTGTATGACTGAGACTGCCACTTGCACATCGGCCTGTTCAGCCACAGGTGGCGATGTTCCAGAGGAGCAGATAGGTAGGATCAAATCCATGGTCACTGATGACCGACAGAGGCCTTAGAATATGAAATTTGGGATCAAATATACATTGGCTTCTGATAGAATAAGATAAAAAACAGATAAGAAATGTTTATCAGTTTAACATGTTTCACTTTTATTGAAGCTTCATGAGAGAATGAGATATGGAGAGAAAAGAAATTCTGGTATGTTTGCTTTTGTGTTTGATTTTCATTGGTTAATCATGTTTCAAAAAGTCTAATGCATATGGAACTTGATAAACGAATGAAAATCAAACACAAAAGTAAACAATACCAGAACTTATTTCTTTTTTTTCCCCATCTCATACTCTGATGAAGCTTTAATAAAAGTGAAACATGTTAGACTGTTAAATGTTTCCTGTTTGTTCTTTTGCCCATGTGAACACGCACAGAATGGGCAAAAGGAAAAGAAAAATCAACCTTTCACCAATGAAGAACATAAACAAGAAATATAAACAGTCAACTGCTGATACCTGCTGATAAGCAGATGGAGTGATTTCTGGAGGGTCTGTTTACGAAACTCTGGAGTATGGATGCTGAAGGTAAACATCAGCTAAGTGACAAATTTTATGTGTTTTTTATATATATTTATATATATATATATATATATATATATATAAATAAATAAAAGAGGCTTTTGCAGGAGCATCTTTTAAACATTTTTGAATTTGTGAAACTACACAGCATTTCTATTTTCTGATTGTCTATTTTATTCAATTTGTCTTCTCTACAGCTATATTCTGAGAACTTTCACATGCACAAACATGTCTGTGTCATTTCATAGTTAAATTCAGTCAGCAATTCAGTCAATGTTTCATAATAGAAAAGAAAGCAGAAACTGGCTGATAAGTAGAATTAAATTTAGCTTGTAATGAGGTTGGCTGAAAGATGACCATAAAAGAACTGACTAGAATCTGTTTATCTTCGGACTAAAAAAAGAATTCTCGTTTGAAAATTATAAACCAGCCGAGTGATCCTCAATATGAAAATTCTGTTTTATCGATTGGTGTTTTGTACTTACAGATGTCTACCACTTAAGCATTGCATGAATGAATATGGTAAACACTGGTCTTGGCATCTTTCTGTTAAAAGAATTTTGAACCTGCATGACAGCGAACATGTCCTTTTGATGATAACTCTTAGTTTGGGCCAGAGGAATGAAATTGGTGCAGTGAATGTAACAGTGAATTATTGGCATTAATTACTCAAGTACAGAATTGAATATGCAAAAAAAGAGAAGAATGGCTTATACTGCATTTCTATGCAGTATAAGCCATTCTTCTCTTTTTTCTTTTCTTTCTTTCTCTTTTTTCTTTTCTTTCTTTCTTTTTTTTTTCTTTTCTTTCTTTCTCTTTTTTCTTTTCTTTCTCTTTTTTTTCTTTTCTTTCTTTCTCTTTTTTCTTTTCTTTCTTTCTCTTTTTTTTCTTTTCTTTCTTTCTCTTTTTTTTCTTTTCTTTCTTTCTCTTTTTTTCTTTTCTTTCTTTCTCTTTTTTTCTTTTCTTTCTTTCTCTTTTTCTTTTCTTTCTTTCTCTTTTTTTTTTTTTTTTTCTTTTTTCTTTTTTTTTCTTTCTTTCTTTTTTTCTTTCTTTCTTTTTTTCTTTCTTTCTCTTTTCTTTTTTTTTCTTTTTTTTTCTTTCTTTCTTTTTTCTTTCTTTCTCTTTTTCTTTCTTTCTCTTTTTTCTTTCTTCTCTTTTTCTTTCTTTCTTTTTCTTTCTTTCTCTTTTTTTCTTTTCTCTTTTTCTCTCTTTCTCTTTTTCTCTCTTTCTCTTTTTCTCTCTTTCTCTTTTTCTCTCTTTCTCTTTTTCTCTCTTTCTCTTTTTCTCTCTTTCTCTTTTTCTCTCTTTCTCTTTTTCTCTCTTTCTCTTTTTCTCTCTTTCTCTTTTTCTCTCTCTCTCTTTTTCTTCTCTCTCTCTTTTCTCTCTTTCTCTTTTTTCTCTCTTTCTCTTTTTTTCTCTCTTTTTCTCTTTTTCTTCTCTCTTTCTCTTTTTCTCTCTTTCTCTTTTCTCTCTTTCTCTTTTTCTCTCTTTCTCTTTCTTCTCTCTCCTCTCT